TCAAAGTGCAGCCAGGTTTAGTCGCTGGATCTACTCAAAACTGGTGAATAAGCACACTGCCTCAGCAAAAGCACAGGTTGTACCAATATAACAAGTGTGATCTGGTCAGTATTATCTCAAACAACTAGACACAAACTATATGGCATAATCTAAGTAGCCATGTGTTCTGGACATGGTTTACAAGAAGCTCTAAATCACACCTCTTTAATCATCTCATATCAAATTATAAGGCAACCAGACCCCAAATAGCCAGTGATAATGAAAAACATGAACAGTGTGGGGAATAATATTATTTAGTATTACACTTGGGAAGATAGAAGATTTTGCAACAGACTTTAGAGCGTGCTCTGTACTTTCATGGGTGTTAACAAGCAGAAATTTTATGGTTCTCCAGTCCTAGCTTAATGCTAACTATGCATATGGCTTGTGTTCCAGTGAAGATTGATTTTCGTTGTAGCAGGAAGCATTCTGTAGCATTCTGTAGCATATTCCTCAGAAATATTTTGCTTCTAAAAGTTTTAACCCTCATTTTGACCTGAAGACCCCCCTGTTGCATCCAAAAGATTACTCTTCTAAGAGGTACAGAGAGGAAGCCTGTTCTGCTTAAGCCCCATGAATAGGAGTATTCTGTAATCATTGGGCTCTTGAATAAGAGGGAAGATAAAATCCTCCCTGTACATGCGCAGCCTAATGTGTTAATGTGCACAAAACACTCCCACCTAAGTTTGTCTCATGACTAAGGTTGGTGAAAAGCATGCTTTTCATGAAGACAGCATGCTACACAGCATGCTAAAATGTGTAAGATACACAGCACACTATTTGCTTTGATGGCTCTGCATCAAAGGCCAACAGCAGGAATATAAGTTAACTTCAGGCACATCTGAAAGTTAGCAACTTAAGGTGAAACTATGGGAGGAGAGGGATGACGTTGCTAGATCTGCTGGCACTTACATTTTAGACTAGATACTTAATTCTCCATTTAAATATAGCAAAGGTGATCTACCAAATCCTATAATGTCTGATATCTTACAGTCATCGATTAAATACTGATTAAATACTCCCAAAATACAAATTACTTTCTTTTTAGAAAGCACATCTACAGAGCACATGAACAGAAAATATCCCTCTGTCTGAGGCACAGGTCAGGATTTTGCTACTACAACTTGAATCAGTAGCGCTACTGGCATGTATCCCAGGAAGAACAGCAGCTTCTGATGGATCTTGATTTCAGGAAAAGGAGACTTCCAGAAAAAGTAGTGACTAGCTGTTGACAAGACCACATACATCTATAGAAGGATCTGATTATTTGTAGTGGAGTGGGTAAGCTTCCTACAATATGAAGACAAACAATTGCATTCATATTTCTACCATCATTTAAACAGGCAGAGATTATGAACTCAGGACAGTTTAAGACAGCTACTTCAACTCACTGAAATGGAAGTATACTGTAGTTAAAAAATCTCTAGATATCAAAACACACTCAAATGGATTTTTACTTGAAACAAGCTTCATAAATGCATAACTTCTTTCAAATAGAGTATTAATAGTCTTCGGAAGCATTATAGCTGCAGTATTGTATGTACCAGAGAAAAAATGGAAATAGAAAGTTAACTTGAGTTGCACTTCATGCCAAAGAAAAATTTCTTATTATATAGACACAGTTCGAGTCACCTACCAACTTGGAAACTCTTTTGTGAAGACAAACGGTCAACATCTCTAACACAACAAACTTAAATCATTTAGCAAATACTAAACACACAATACATCTGCTATAAAAGTCAGTATTATCTACTCACTGTGATACAGGTGCAAGGAAATACTGTACAAAGACCTAAACAACAGGATGCATATGAAAAGATATATAATTATTGCTTTACTAGGTCATGTCCAAACACAACAAGAATTCTCACCTTCTAGTATTACCCAGACAAGGAAGTCCCTCTCTTGGTCATCATTTCTCATGCCCAAGAAATAAACATGCTGAAGTATCTACCCCCATTTGCCCTGATAGTTCATAGTTGTCAGGGAAACAACTCAAAAAAAAAACAAAAAACAAAAAACAAAAAACAAAAAAAAAAAAAAAAAAGAAAGAAAGAAAGAGCTTGGGTTATGGTATCAGGTAATAGTCCTTACTCGCCATACAGAAGACTGAGACTCAGACCTTACATTCTACGAAAAAAAACATACAGGGAGAAACATTTTGTGTGCGTGTGTCCAGAATTGTGTAACTTGAGTTGATTCCAGATTTCATCACCTCTAAGCAGAAGAAAGCATATAGGCTGAAAAAAATGATATAGATTAAGCAATCATAACAGGTTTCCAGGCACTAATCACTTCCTTGTCACCACCATGTGTGGATTATGTACAGCACACAGCATCCACCCATTAAAGTACTGCAAGACAAGCTACACTGAGGGTTACAATTCCTTTCTTCCTCAGACTTTATACCATGATAGTTGGTATAAACTGTAGCTCTCCAAGAGCAAATACAGTTTTTGCACTTCTTGGGAGGCAAAAAAAATCCTTTTTTTTTGGGGGGGGGTGGGGGGGCAGGCAACGGGGGGAAATGGTAAATGGATCCATTAGATCCATGAGTACTCAGACTGCATTTGTTTCAGTAAGGAGCTCCAGTTCCTTGCTGAATTCTAGCTGAAACAAGCATGTCCCTTCACATATCTTCAGTCCCTCTGTACAGTATTTGGTACCCAGGACACAGTGAAGCTCTCTCATTAATACCGAAAGCAGTATTTTGTTTTGGTTCTCCTGAGCAAACAACAGGCTCATGCCAAATAAATAACATTTTCATTCACAACTAAGGTCCAAAGATAAAGGTGATCCTAATTAAAGAAGATGAAGTGCATTTCCAATGCTCTCCCAAATCATCTCAGTTTCAAACCTTTTGCTCTTCTACAATATTCCTTTCTCTCAACTGAAAATGTCAGCATTCTACCAGCGATGATACCTTGGATGTTTCTCTTTTTATTTTCTGTATCCTATTCTGTTTCTAAATAGTTTATTTTACTCTGAACTGATTGAATAAGATTCTGAGTTCATCTTTCACTATAGCCAAAGGAAATTTACTAAAGATTTTACTCATAATACAACTTGCATTTTACCTGCACGATTGTTTGTCAGCTGCCCACCACGTTAATGTTTGTGCAGGTACAATAAGATCACCTTCTCCAACAGCCTAGCCTATATTCAGAACTGACAACACCACTGTCAGTGCCCAAAACCTTAGCACTAACTTGCTGATCTGTGAGGTTTGACACCTGGAAGGTATTCAGTGTATTTCAGGATTCTCTAAGCATTTTGCAGAATCAGTCCATAAGACAGCCAACATAAATTGTGGTGGGATATGTCTACTTTTGATCACAAATACAAATAAACATCCTCAACACGGTTAGAAAATTTCCTGAAACCTTTGCAATAAGGGTGCAGATTTTTTTTAATCCTAACAAATGATGTAAAACGAAACACTTGCCAGTCACTTGTACAGGCAGTTACCAAAAATGATCTTTGCAAGTCTGCCTGTTGTCTTCATTTGAGTTCATAGCAGCCACCTTCTTAATAGCAATCTGCCTACATTTCATACAGTCCAAGACAAATCAGCAGGAAGCAGCAGGAGCATATCATCTGATTTAAGCTGCACTGCAAACTTTCTAATGAGACAGAATAGCCAGTAAGAGCTATCTTAGCTCAAGAGAAAACATTCTTATTAAAATCAGAGCAAAGTCTGCACTGGCAAAGATGGGGGAACCAGTCCAGTAAAAATCTAACTCTTGTCAATCTTCGCTAAACAATATTCTCCCAGAATAACCAAGTTTCTGGAATTTCCACTACTGCCATTATACAACAAGTTCCTTGAAAAGGTCACATCCATCTACAAGCAAGGTCCATTTGCAAAATCCTACTGCTACCAGTTTGGAATTGCTCTGGACTAAGAGTAAGTTAATGATGAGAACCAGAAGGAGGAGCTGCACGTGTCCAAGCCTGTAACTGAAACCTTAAGCAGCTGCATGGGCACAGGATCAGACCAATTCATCCATAACTGACTGACATTATACAACTGTTTACATACATTCTGAAAGCATTTTGTCTTCTTTTTATAAGGCATTACCTGCTTGCCTGCGGTGATTTACGTGTCTTGCTCCTGGTCCATTTGTAAATCATCTGCAATGAAAAGCATAGGAGGAAACATCTGCTTTCCTTACCATTCCAGCAATTGCTTCCAGGAAGGAAGGTCTAGAGAAAAGACACCAGGTATTTTCCAGTTATGTCTTGATTTATGAGACTTCTTTAGCAAGAGGTCTAAGGCAGATGGTTGAGCTGCTGAATAAAGATCTACAGCAAAAGGACCTGCAAAGCTTTATGTTGTGACACTTGCCCACAATGTGGGGTCACTACTGGCAGCGCAAGCAATTTGCAGGACCACTGCCTCCAAAAGCCACCCTCAAGACATGAGAGCAAAGGTAAAGTACTCTTCTCTTTTTACCTTAAAACACTGCCAGTTATCCCAGGCTGCCGAGCAGAGTCCTCAGAGCAGCTCTTCAGCCCTCCCTCCTCAGTATCCCCTGCAGGAGGTCCCACTGTTGGGGCCAAGCAGCCCAGAGGCCTCTGGGCCCAGCCAGGATGAGACACAAGCAATGGGGCATCCTAAGAGAAGCAGCCAAGCCCAGGGCTGCCCGGAAGCCCCTCTGCACCTCCCTGGTGGGGATGAGTGTCAGCCTCACCTTTGTGTGAGCTGCACTGTATTTACCCTCCTACTTCCTTGTTTCACCGCAACGCCGGGGCCATAAACCGCCTGGCTGGCACAGCTGAGCCCCAGCAGGGCGTGCAGGCGGCGGCAGCGCCGAGGGGATGGTGGCCGGTCCCCCAACCAGAGCTGAGAGGGTGCCCCGATCACCGCCACCCTGGCGAACAGGAGTGTGGCCCCAGGCCTAGTGCTGTCCCTGCCACTGCCGCCCACCGCAGCTCCCACACGTCCACCGGCTTCCTCCATGCCCGATGCTGGGGTCAACAGGACTTACTTCCCCTTCTTCTCGGACGTGGAGGGCCACCACAGCACCGGGCTGCGTGCTGTCGAGTCGGCCGTGCTGGCCTGCATCTTCCTGACGGCTCTGGCAGGCAACGTGTGGGGCATCTGCCTGCTGGCGCGGCGGCGGCACCGGCTCTGCGCCGCCAACTGCCTGGTGCTCAACCTCTTCTGTGCCGACCTGCTCTTCATCAGCGCCATGCCCATCATCAGCGTGGTACGCTGGACCGGTGGCTGGGTGCTGGGCCCCGCTGTCTGCCACCTGCTCTTCTACATGGTCAGCCTGAGTGGCACCGTCGTTATCCTCTCGCTGGGCGCCGTCAGCCTGGAGCGCGTGGTCAGCATCGCACGGCTGCAGCACCGCACCGTGTGCCGCCGCCGGGCCCTCGCCGCCACTCTCCTCCTCATCTGGGGCTTCTCCGCCCTCGCCACCCTCCCGCTCTGCCTCTTCTTCACCGTGGTGCCGCTGGCCACCGACGACAGCAAGGTAAGGTGAGCTTGGACAGGCAGTGGGGAGCCGGGATGCCCTGCACAACCTAAAATGTAAAATAAACACAACAAGGGGTTCGGCTTGCACTCAGGAGGCCAAAAAAACCCTTGTCCCCACACTTCCCCACCTAGCATTTTTCCTTTACAGTGTTTTGAAGTACGAGCAAAAATCCATTCAAGGTGATATCATTGTATCATTTACATCATTTAGTCTCAAGCCTGCATTTCTGTTTTAAAGCCATTATTAGCACTCAACTTAAAACTTTTGGCAATAATTAGATTGTGGACAACATTTACAAGTATTATTCTTATTATTTTTAATATTAACTAACACATTAGTTGACTGATCTGTTCAAGTAGAAACTTACTGTTGATTCTGTCCAGTTTGCAGCCTCTTTCTCCACAGGTAATACAGTTAAGGACAGGACAATTTTCCAGTAAAAAACAAAGGTACAATGTTAATTTTCTTCTTTATCCTTTGCAAACAGAATGTCCAGATTTGCACTTTGCTTTGGCCCAGCATTGAAGGAGAAATAGTTTGGGATGTGGCCTTCGCCATTGTTGTCTTTTTAATACCAGGATTAATCGTTGTCATCAGTTACTCAAAAATTCTACAGGTATTTTTTTCCTTTAAATTTTGTTGTAGAACTAACAGAAGTAACCAGCATTCTCTAGACATCAACATGTTATTATCAAATACAATTACCCCAAGAGTATTGACTATTTGCTCAAGTAGAAAAGTACCTGATATGAAATGAGGCACTTCAAACCTGTATTTACCAGTCTACACATTTCAGTCAAGAGTATATGCTTGAATGGCACTTTACAAAGCCCAAGAGAGAGGTTGTCTTTATTCATATACAGAATTAAATAGTCTTCTCTGTTTGTTTGTTGGTCAATCTCCTAAATACTTAAGAGACTCAAGCATTTGAAATGCTAGATTTTGCACTCCCTGACCCTCTACCTCAAAGAGTTAGCCATTAAAGGCAGACAGGACTGGAAACAACAATCCTTCTCCTTCTAAATCTACAGTTTTTCTCCTTTCCGCATGCCTTTTAATATGCAGATCTCCATAGTGTATTCATTAGAATGTGCTTATTTTTGCACCACTTTCAAAGCAACTTTGCAAAAGCCGTATGTCAAAACTTTCTTTCTTTCTGAGTAGGTATTGTTTAACTGCTTAAACATAGGCCTAGATATCAGACACTGTAGTTTTATTCTACATTCTGGCAAGCATGGTATTAGATACCTAAATGTATTATTATGAGACAGTGAGAAAAAAAGCTAGAAGTCTTCAAACTAAGAGCTGCAAAACTTGTTTTATGGCACCTGTACTAAAAGGGTGGTGCTGTACAAGGTAATTTCTTATACTATGAATAAGGAAAATTATGGGTTTTGGAAGGGATCTTGAAATACACAGATTATTAAGCAGGGAATTAACTGATGAAATGCCGAGCAGCAAGGGGCTCTGGGCTTACAAACCAGAACTCCACCTAGATGTGTCCATCAACTAGAATTTAGGCTTCACATGTACTTGCCTATGGATAAGTCTCAAACTCAGTCAAAATAATCAGTTCTCCACCCTCTTAAATCTCATCACAATCTTCAGATAAATGCATTAGCTAAACTTCATCTAGTGAAGTAAAGCAACTGCCCTTTCCAACCTGGATTCAGGCAAATTGTATAGACAAAGAACATACAGTAATTAATGAAGAATCTTGGCTCCTTAAAAGAACTGCAAAAAAGCAGTAACCAAGGAATGTCACAGCACTTGGTCAGAGACCAAGACAAGAATGATGTTTCGCTTGTCCTTACAGACTTCAGTTAACAACAGATAGATTTAGAAGGCAACAGGGAGCTAGAAGACGATAAGACAACATTTTGAAGACTGGATTGCAAAATAACTCCTTATTGTTGTGTTCACATTTCTTTTACAATCTGACAGTAAAGATGCTAAAATGTGTTAGCATTTCTTTATAACCAAAAAGGAGCAAGGCCCATAGTTAGATCCCATCTATTGTAAATTGAATTTCCTCTCTCATACAGCTCTCCATGAAGCAATCAGAATTCAGCTGGAAAGTATCTTAAACCTGAGTCATCCCTCAAACCAGATTCCTCCTAACTTTGTGAAAACACTCCATAGTGCCAGTGTATATAGAGTAAAATGCCAAGTATTACTGAAAACAGTTCAAAGCATTAGATGTATTCAAATAACAGAGCAACTAGGATGATGATTCACCACAGATATAAAACCTCAAATTTGATAACATACTCTACAAATGTGCTGAATTTAATCTATTATTTGTACATAACACTGCCCAGAGCACTGGCAAAAATGACAGATCAGAAGCATAATCTGTAATTAGCTTTTTTTTTGTTGTTTTGTTTGTTTGTTTTCAACCTTTTCCCCTCTCAAGCAATGCACAACCTATAGAGATTTAGGAAAAGGCTAAAAACAGTAAAAACATTCAAGTTACATACCTGCCTACACCTGACTTATAAGCTTCAAGTCCTGAGTGTGATCCAGGTGCCTGCTGTAGGCATCAAGATGCCTTACTTTTAGGCAGGTCAGAAAGGAATCCAAAATATATTACTACTACCCCATTTCAGGTGAATATTTTATAAAGATACAACTGCATCTTATCTACTACAATACTGGTATTTCTTGAATTCTTAGTTCTACACTGTGCAGATCCAGCTGGAAAGATGGAGGGTATTTTTATGAATTGGTACAAATTCTGCTGGTGAAGATATTTTAGGTAAGGTAGATTTATTCTGAACACTGGAAGCTAAGGGTTGGTTTTCCCACTTTCTAAACAAACATGAGGCCTAGGCTGTTTTATTACATTAGATCATACATTTACTAAACATGTAGACACTTTTCATAGCAAAGAAAAGGATCTTTAAGCTTAATTTCAGGTTCATAGAAAACAATTCTGATTACTGAAAAAGAGTTTACACTGCAATTTAAATAAAATCTCTCTTATTTAAAAATGTACCTTGATTTTTGTTATTGCAATGAATTCATGTTCCTTTTTTACCTGATAATGTCAGCATAGCTATAAGACAGAAAACTGGCTTCTGTTCCTTCTTGTGCATTGACAGGGTTGTTAACTATTTTCCATTTTACATGTGTAAAAAAAATCAATGAGTTTATTTAGATAGAATAAATGAAGTCACAATCTGAAGTTAATGGAATTTCATGAGTAGTTAAGGGCCTGTTTGGAACAGAAAAGTATTTATTGCTGGAAAAGTATGAAGAGAATAAACAGATTGACTAATATTGAGTAGACTAGCAGATTTAGAATGTTTGAAATCAAACCATGAACAAAAAACCAAAAAATCCTTTTCTATACTTACTTTTCAAATTAGAAACATCATGTTCTGCACCTGTAAAATGTGTTGAGAATTCTCCCATGTTTCAATATAGGTTACTTTATTCTATTTTTTGCAGATTACAAAAGCATCAAGAAGGAGTTTAAATGCTGGCTTAGCCTACTCAGAAAATCATCGCATTCGTGTTTCCCAACAAGATTACAAACTATTTCGAGCCCTGTTTGTATTGATGATCTCCTTCTTCATCATGTGGAGCCCAATTATAATCACTATTTTTTTAATTTTAGTCCAGAACTTCAAACAAGATTTGCATATTTTGCCATCAGTGTTTTTCTGGATCATGGTATTCACTTTTGCCAACTCTGCTGTCAATCCAATTTTGTATAATGTTACCCATTTTAGACGCAAATGTCAGGAAATACTTCTCTGCTGTATAAGGAGCCCTATAAGAAATGGAGCTGGCACAGAAACCACTGTAAGAAGAAATAACTGTGAACAACCTAATTTATCTTTCATTTACAGATAATTAAAGTCTGAGCCATGCCACTCTTCAGATGTTAATCTTTACACTATTCCAGTCAGAACAGGTCACTGTTTTATAGTATTATATACTACAGAAGGCTCACAGGAAAACAAAATATAAACAGCTGTATTTCCAATTCCTGCAAGTAAAATTCTTGCCTCCTCGGAAATATGCATGCTCTTGTATCTTGCCAAAAAAAGGATATCTACATACTAAGTCAAGTAACTAACTGCCTGAATATAGTTTTGGACAAACCAACTCATTTCAGGTAGAAGACAATAATGAGATGATAAACATGCGTTATTACCAAGTGCATGATTGTTTCTGGTTGCATATCACGTTTAAAAAGTGACAACTTTGCTAAATATCAGAAAATAAAAAATGTTTACTCATGACAAGTGTATAATAGGTTCTTCAAAAAAGATGCATATTTTTATGTCTCTGATAGTCATATCATAAAAAAAATAGATGATATATAGGGCAGTGAAATTCCTTCCTCTTTTCCAAAATGGTCTGGAAAGGATTTTCAGTATTTTCTAGGGGAAAAAAAAGAAATGATATTTGGAAGGAAATTAAAAGTTATGGAAAACATGCGTTTTTTTAAAAAAATTAAATTAGTCATAAGTTGAAACAGATAAAAAAGAAATATTATGTTCTAATTTATTGCCATATGTCACCAATTTTACATAGTGCATTAAGATAATGGTTTACTAATAAAACCAACATCTACATATGTACAGATGTGCATAGAAACAACCTGCATCCCCTATAATCCGAGTTTATTAAAACATTTCATTGGTTTATTGACAAGGTGAGCCACGTAGCTCAGATAAATATATTCAAGATCTAAATAAAGCCATTTAAAAGCTTTTCAACTGAACACTTAATCAATGTGGTAGCATTACATCCATGCTGCTGTTATGTGATTTCCTTCCATAGTTTTGGATCCCCTTAAGAGCAGAATCCTGAAAAACACAAATATCAAAGTTTTATTTTTTCAGCTACATTGAAAAAATTAAAATATTCAAGCTTTTACTAAACTTAAAGTGTGTTTATATTATGTTTTTATTTTACACATTATAAATATAGGATATATATGTATAATATTGTAAAAATATATTATACATGTTATATTTTTAGATATATACTCTTAAATCTAACAGTCTTATTTTTGTTATCATATGCAAATATTTATCTCTGCAGTATATAATTCCAAAGGATTTTCAATTCAAGACAAAAAAGGGATTCCTCTGTTACATTTGTCTTGATCATTTTAATGCTTTGGTATTGGACAGATCGGTGGTAAACAGTTATTTTATTTAAAGAGCTTTAAAGTATTTGTAATTCATTCTTTTTAATATAAGAATGTGTTTCAACAAGCAAGTGATCTCCTGTCCTCCAAAACTTCCAAGGAGCAATGGCAGATGAGTTGAATATATATACAACACTGTTTAATTCAGAATTTCAGTTTCTACTGAATGCTAACAGATTTTTTTTTAACCTTAGTAAAAGTACAACAGTATCTTACTCTACAAGCAGTATCTTACTCTACACGCAGTCCCACTGTCAATGTAAATATTTAGGGTGACATTGCTGTCACAAGGAACATTATTAGAAAGCTAAATAAAGTGTGATATCACATTCACACTGAGTAACTTTAAGCAGTAGAGCTATAACTGAGAAGCAGTAGCACAGCCTGATCCACGTTTAGGAAGGAGCTGCCATTAGAAATGCGAGATAAACAACAATGAAAACAGAATTTCCTAGGCTTCTTTTACCTCAAAGAGCTAGTATACAAATAACTGCTATTTTAAGTTTTGTATATCTATTATTTATTTTGGGGACTTAATTTCAGTACAATATTTATATAGAAAGCTAGTTATAAATCTTTGGGAAAAACATTTAGGTTTAAGATGTAGACTTGGCTTGCACAATGAGAACAGATCTCAGCCTTCTACAGTGTCTATAAAGTTCAGACAGAATTTGACTAGAATAACAAATGAATGCAAGGAAAAAAGAGACAAATGAAGATGCCCATTTTGATAATAATTCTGCAACTCTTAATAGCAGAATTACAGCATAAAGTAGTTAGATTTTCAATCACCCTCATATGATTTAAATGAAGTTTTCAAGAGTTACTAATACAAACTTTTAAACATACTTTTTTTTCCCCCTCCATTTTAGCTTACAATCATTCTCTCTCCCGAATATATTTGCTCTGCAGGAATTTGGGCTTAAGTGTACTGGAGAATTCAGAATCAATTAACACTATGGTAATTACAGGCCCTGATCATAGTAATGGAAGATGCAAACAGCTGGCTTTAAGTTTGATTACTTTGACATAATCTTCAGTAAAAAAGGAGACAGTCTTAAAAAAATCAAGACAATCTTTTTTTTTTTCATTTACAATCAATACTCAAATAGTCTGTCAGACACTGTGCTCAACACCTGAATATAAATTAGGACAGCAGACAACAAATTTAACACTTAATTCAGGTTGGTAGGTTGGATATTTCTGTAACAGACTGAAGGTAGCATGATCTGCTTTTAAATTAAGGTTGGACAGACAAAGAATATTTGAGACTGAACTTGTAAAAGGTTTCTAAGCTTTTATACTTAAAATACACTACCATTTCCATACTCTGTGAAAAAGACAGCCATTCTATTTTATAGAATTTATGCCATATCTGAAGTTGTATCAAAAATCATAAATAAGTGAATAAAGATAATTTTCCTTAGGTTTGTACTTTCTTGCAAAGATTCTCATTACGTTTATTTCTCATATAGTGTGGAAATAATAGAAACACAGATAACTGCTATGCTGAATCAGAGCAGTACTCATGAGTCCAATACCAATTTAATAGCAGGATAATGCTATCTCTGGGTTTGACAGCAATGCAAGGGATGATCTTAATAATCTCTTAAAGGCACATCATAAGAACTGTAATCTAAGCTTTATCTTTGCTATCATTAGAAAAAAAGCCTAAACATCTCATCATTTTGTTCTCTCATCTTCACAACTTTTTGTTCCTGATGTATTTCATTTAAAGAGCAACTGTAATACTGAAAAACAAGAAAATACTGTAAACTTATGTAATGATATTAATTTTCTATCCTATTTTATGCAATCTGTATGCTTTATGTTCCCTATTTACTTTTTGATGGTTGCTAAAAATTAAGCGGCATTTTTGTTTCACTGCCCACTGCATCATACAGATGTCTTTCCTGAACATACAATTCAGAAGCCATCAGTATGTGAAGGTTAAAGTTTCTCCTTTGCATTTTTATTGCAAAGTACTTACCAAAAGCCAATTTCATCTGCGTTTATGATATCTCTTAATTTTGGATACCTTAAATCCTTTTATGTTGTCTGCAAACTCTCATTCAAAACAAAACTTCTTTCACTGCCACCAGGTACTTTTTCCAGGTCGCTAAGCAGTATGCTCAACACCACCTACCTCGGCAGGTCTCTTGGGCACCATATTGTCAACATACTTTACAACATGGTAGTATATTACTCTGTTTATTGATCAGCTGAACAGACAATAGAGGCACAAGAGCTGACTGGGCTGACTTTCTTTATAATATGTGAGAGTTCCCTCAGTCAATCCCAGTTTATTCCAACAGGTCATTTAGGAAAACCTTTAATCTTGATTTGCAGATTTTAGTGATGAAGAACATACAACAGCTCTCAGTAAACTGTTCCAAAGGTTAATGACCTTTAGAATTAAACAAATGGCTCTATTTCCACTCTGTGTCAGGCATCGTTTCAGCCATTTTATTTTATTTCTATGTTTGCAAAACTTTACTATCCAATTCTCATTGTTTTTGCAGGTAAGCACAGACTTTGCTCAGGTCAGACTTTAACCTCCTTCTAATGAGAAGAGTATCAAGCTCCTTGAAGCTCTCAATAGAAGATACATTGTACAAACATTCAGTCATTTTCTCCTTGCTTTTCTCTTTCTGCATTTGCTGGTCTTTGAAACTTTTAATTTATTCTCAATACCCCTTCTAATTATCAGGATCATTAAACATGGCATAGCAAGCAAACCTCTGCAAAGCAACACAGTCTCATGAAAGTCTGTAAATTCATCTTCAACATCTTTTGTTTATGCTTTCAAAACCACCCTTACTTTTTTGGCCACAGCACTCATGCGTGCCATATGGCCCTTCATGATTATTCTTCATTTTTTTCCTGTTCCCCAGTCTGGATGTTATCTTTATCAATATGCATTTTATGTTGTCTTCCAGATCATTGATTAAACTAGCATAAAATACCATTTGGCCTATTCTAATACACGTTTGAACTTTCTCCCCTCCGCTCCACTGGTACAATTTACTGGATGGAATGGAATTAAAAAAAAAAAAAAAAAACACACCACCCTTTCCCTGTTCCAACCTTCTACACCCTTCTGTGGTGCTGGAAATGTACATTCTTCCTGTATTCTCGTAGCTTCTCAACCCCACACACCCAACGGAAGGAGGTAAAGATAAGTAACAGAGTGAGCCAATTTATGTGTCCCTATGCTGTAAGCTCGGCCTGACTATCTTTCTCAAGATGAGGTCACTCCTCCAGTATAAGAGGTATGTCCCTTTTCCATAACCCTCTGTGAAAAAGGGGGTGTGAGGACATGTGGGAAAAGGACAACCCCACTATTGCAAGGTGGGGCATCACTATCTTTTCCAAGACTTCTGTTTTTCCTTAAAAAAACTCTTGTGAGGAATATTTCAAATGAATCTTTGAAAATATAGGTAACAGTTTATCCCTTTCAAAAATTGGTTTGTTACAAAAAACAAAGAATTCTGATAGATACAATTTCTCTTTACAGTCACTATGAAGTTTATCCTTAGTATGTTTTTTCATACTACGCTGATTTAATCATTTTACAACCTCCTCTAATTGTTTCAACTGATGTAATATGACATAAAAAGCTATACACATTAGCTCTCCTTCAGATAAGGGAAGTAAAAGTAGGAGTGAATTTTCTAAGAACTCCTGTTTCCAAAGACACTATTAGAGACACTAAGTATAAG